GCCACAAGCGGCTGACCAGTGGTGTGAGTAACCTCCACTCAGACTGAGCTGCAGTATATTCTGTCTAGGTGAGAGCTATTCACGCCACCGATCAGCCACTCGTGGCCCAACGATTGTGCTCAAACTATTAACAGAGAGGTCGCGGGTTCCAGTTAGTCTGGAGTTTCGTGAGGTGCGCAATGCTTAAACGGATTTACAGTACCCCTTGGCTTTTTGGTGAATCCCCATTGAAGTTCCTAAACTTCCTCACTACCGACAGTGGGTGAGCTTTATGTTTCAAAAATATGCAACCCTTCAGAAGGTTACGGAAAGTCTTAGCCTCTGCACATTTTTTGATGCCACTGCACAAGAAAAGCACAAAGTGGTTAGAATGAAGCTGCTGCTTTCTCCCTTAACTTAACGTTTTGGGTTCTGAACGCCAACCATCTTTCCATAGTGAAGTGCACTGTACTTTTTAACTGTCATACTGACTGCAGTGAACATGTAAAGATATGCAGTTAAATGTAACCTGGTTATTGTGCAAACTTTCAGTGTTATGTTCCCTGTCCGAATACGCGTAAGGGTGACCTTGCTTCTTATATCTGTATCTCAGATTTTGTCGGCTACATATGTTTCAAAGCTTTGGTCAAATTTTCTGATGCAAATTTGTCTCATCAATCAATTTCGTTTCTCCTTGTATATCCAGGATGCAACAATATCCGTCGCAAGCCTCTGAACCCATTTGTCTTGTTGAATATTCCACTATTTTTCTGAAAAGAAGGATGTTAAAACAATTCAGCGAAGGTCAACTGATAACATTAGTAAAATCCCTTGAAACTTTACTATTTAAATGTCTTGTGGTGTCTCTTACCTTATAGTCATCCAACGTAAGCTCAGTTCCAACTTACTTTTCCCTTTTTCTCTCCTACATAGTAGTGACAGACGAGTAAAAAATCAGCCCACAACTAGTTACACTACGTAGTTTGCAGTCCACTCAATACGGGCACCATCATGAGTCGCATCTAGAAAATGGTCAATACCCGTACTGAAATGTTTGGCTATTACTGGCTTCAGTATGTTTGATTAAATCAGTTTACTTTCTTTACCGTTGTCCAACCAGAACGCGCGGAATTCTCGGCCAACCTGACTCTCACTGAAACCCAAGTTAAAATATGGTTTCAGAATCGTCGCGCCAAAGCTAAACGATTACAGGAAGCCGATACTGGGTTATACCAGTCAAATTCGTCAGAGCGAATAGAGACAGAAAACTCGAATAAATCACAAACCCCCTCAGGAGAAAGGTGTCGTGCCACAAACAGCGATCGGGCTTCACATTCGAGTTTACAACCGCCGACGCCACCTCACACACCAACATACAGCAGACAGAAAACAACGTCCAGCATTTTTACGGTGGTTCCTCCCATTCAAGTTGAAACTTCATTCGACTCAGAGCAGAATGGATCAGATTGCCTGATACTGTCAAAATCTTCCGATACGTCAACTATTCATGGGGGCTCGAAATTACCGCCATCATCACCAGCAAGCCGAAACGCAAACTTTACTGCAAAGGCCCTTTCACGCTCTTGTGGGCACACAATTTCCTACTTCTCCAACAGTTCTCAAAGTGTCGTAGATTATCCAGAACTAAGGAGATCTGAAGGTACAACAGTCTGGAATCGAACTACCATTCCTTACCAAACGATGGACATGACTTCGACCCGGAATTCGGCATCTGCTTTCTCATCGCCACAAGGAGTGGACAGTGATAGGTGTCATCCGAGTAAGCTTGTTTGTTTTCAACTTATAAACTTTTATGTATATTAAGACGTATTATGGTATGTGATGTGCACAAGGAATAGCCCTCTCAAATAATATATATATATATATGTATATATTCATCCAACCCTTTATTTATTGGTTGTAGACGCAGAAATCTAAATTTGCACATAATGAATAGAAAAATGCTGTCAGTTGTTGTAGGACGCACATATCTCCAAAAATAAATTTTATCTTGTAGATGGTGACCACAATGACCTTAAACTGAGAGATTATGGGTACACTTTTCTAAACCCTGAACTTTATTTACTCCTACAACAA